AAAAAAAAAAAAAAAAAAAAAAAAAAAGAACATTCAAATGTGTTCCCAACATTAAAATTTACCTTGAGAAATGAAAACTGCTTTCATTTGAACTAAAGGACCTGGGCAAAGCCCTCCCTGTATCTAAAACCCTCTGCAGGAGAATTGCTTAAGACACCAAGCAGCTGAGATCACTTTGCTTGGTATTTTCAGTTAGTTCTTTTGTTTCCAGACTTCGAATTGCTGTAAGTAGGTCAGTGTGACCTGGAATGCTTTCGTGCACAGCAGAACCTTACCCTCCTTAGTCAATAGGCTGACAAATGCTGCGGATCAGAATCCCCTGTTGTAGTCAGACTTTTCCAGAAGCAGCTCTCTGCAGACACTTCCCGGCTTATACAGGTGCAGAGGCCCCTCTCCCAACCATTATACTTTCCTCTTGGCATCTAAAATCCAAACTCCTGAACTTAGCATCTATGCCCTCCATAGTTTGGTCACTTTTGAGCTTAATTTCCAAGGAAGACTAAGATTAACTGTCCCCAAAACATACCCAGCTACACACAAACACACGTTTTCCAACCACACTGAATCACTCTGCTCAAGAAACACATCATGTGGACTTCCCTAGTGGAGCCGTGGTTAAGAATCCGCCTGCCAGTGCCGGGGACACAGGTTCAATGCCTGGTCCGGGAAGATCCCACATGCCGCAGAGCAACTAAGCTTGTGGGCCACAACTACTGAGCCTGCACTCTAGAGCTCGCGAGCCACAACTACTGAGCCCACGTGTCACAACTACTGAAGCCCGCGCGCCTAGAGCCTGTCCTCTGCAACAAGAGAAGCCACGGCAATGAGAAGCCCGTGCACCACAACAAAGAGCAGACCCCGCTCACTGCAACTAGAGAAAAGCCCACAGAAGAAACGAAGACCCAATGCAGCCAAAGATAAATAAATTAATTAATTTTAAAAAATATTAAGAAAAAAAAAAAAGAAACACACCACGCAGACTTCCCTGGCGGTCCAGTGGTTAAGACTCTGAGCTTCCACTGCAGGGGGGGCAGGTTTGATCCCTGGTCAGAGAACTAAAATCTCGCATGCCCTGTGGCATGGCCAGAAAAAAAAAAAAAAGGGAAACACACCCCGCACCTCCCTGTCACTTTTGCTCCAGCTGCCCTTTGCCAAGAGTGCCCTTCACGTGCCCCTACCTGCTACAGTTCTGCCTGGCCTGACGCTTACCTTGAATTCTGAGATCGCCTATCAGCCTTCCCAAGCTCCCCTGATGAAATGGAACACTGCCTTCCCTGCACTTCCAGAGTGCTTTTCTCCCACCCCGACTTTAGCCTCTGCCACAGAGTCCTCTGCCCCGATGGGTGGCCTGCTCAGCAGGCAGTATGGAAGGGAACCAGCCTGGGCTTTCAAACGAGGCAGCCTGGGGCTCGACTCCCACCGCTCTACCACTGACCAGCCCCACTGAGTGTCTGGAACTAACACTTTAAAATTAAAATAATAGTAGCATCTACCTAATAGGAGACTTATGAGGATTAAAACATGAATTGCTGAGCACAGGCCCTGGTGCATCACAAGCGCTCAATAAACATCAGATCCATCAGCACCCAGCAAAAAAGAAAGACAGAAACATCTGATGTGAACAGCAGGCAAAATGAGAATTTAGGAACTTTTGATTCAAGGTCAACTTCTGTTGATACTTACTATGGAGCCAGCTGCATTCAGGGAGCCTGCCAGCTGATAATTAACTTCTGACATCCAGCACTTCTTGAATAGGTGGTATAACTCTTTGGCTATCAGCTCAGCCGAATTGAAGTTTGGCTCATAAATGACACTAAAATGTAAGAGATGCAAAAATGGAACACACTATATTCATGAGGAGTGTTTTACCGTCTTGTGCTTCAGGTTCTCAACTATCCTTCCCTCTCCAAAAACCAGAGGAGGTGTCATACAACAGACCGTGCATCAACTGCCCACCGACGGTTATCTTACTCGACTCAATGCCTCCACGCTCAACAGGGCAGCTTGTATTTGTTGAGGGTACCAAGGTGGGGAGGGGTGGTGAAAAGAGCACCAGATGTAGAGTCAGAAGACCTGAGTGCAAGCCCTACCTCTGCTATTTAACAGCACGGCGTCCTGAGGCACATCTCATCCGAACCTCAGTTTCTGCATCCATAAAATGGGGTTTAAGAAAACCCACCCATCCCCCCCATGAGGATAAATGAGAATGTGTACAAAAGTCTTTGAAAGGGGCTTCCCTGGTGGCGCAGTGGTTGAGAGTTTGCCTGCCGACGCAGGGGACACGGGTTCATGCCCCGGTCCGGGAGGATCCCACATGCCGCAGAGCAGCTGGGCCCGTGAGCCATGGCCGCTGGGCCCGCGCGTCCGGAGCCTGTGCTCCGCAGCGGGAGAGGCCGCAGCAGTGAGAGGCCCGCATACCTGCTCCGCAACGGGAGAGGCCACAACAGTGAGAGGCCCACATACCACAAAAGAAAAAAAAAAAAAAAAAAAAAAAAAAGAACACTTAAAAAAAAAAGTCTTTGAAACACTCTAAAAACACTGTAGGAACTTTAGTAGTGACGGCTTCATTTCTAAGCAGTAATCCTTTTTATTGGAACTGGCTGAATTTGGCCCAAGATGTCAGAGGCCTGGGGTCTACAGTGCCTCAGAGGTGATGGCCTGGGAGTCTGTGTGCAGATGATACCTCTTAGAGGAGCTGCAGGAACATCCACAGGTCTCTGTGGTATTGCTGAAATCTCCAAGTTCTGTGGGAAAATCAAAGAAAGGGTAGCAAGGTCTTTTAATCTGTTTCACTTCATCGTAGTCAAATTTATGAGAACACAGAAATAGACAGCTGCCTGCATCTCAGAAAGGACCAACTATTCAGCATCTCCATACTTCACATTCTTCTGTGTTTCTACTGTGAGACTACAGCTAATGACCAAAGATGGGATTTCAAAATATGCCCATCTGAAATTTCATCAAAATATAATTGAGGCGCCAAACATATCGGACCATAACGAGCACCTGCTTTTGCATTCAAATCTACAAATGAGATGAGAGATTAATATCGAGACATCGTCTGATCTTGGGAGGAGCTTCTCTGAATGCCACGTAAGGTGGCACTGTGTGTGAACAGTGTCAGTATGTATGTGGGGAGGAGGGTACCTAGTCACAGATCATGAGTTTCCAAATCTTACCTACGATAACGAATTCATCCAAGTCACATTTGCAGTCCTCTTTCATCACATCACAGCAAGTAGGTGTTTCAACCACTGGGCTGACCTGTAACACAGCACAACCTAGAAGAAGAAAGGAAGGATATTTCACCAGCAAGAAGAAAAAGGAGTGCCCAACCTGCAACACCTAGCTAAATCGAAATTGGGGAATGAAAGGGCTAGTTGATTTTTTTTTTATTTTAAAATTCAGCTATAAGAATTAAAAAGTACAGGGAGCTCTTTTTGTGTTGTTCTTATATTCACATGATTAAGTGAAACAGACTGCTGAGTCTATTGGGGTCCATAGGAGTATTCTGCCTACTTTTCTGTAAGTTTGAAAATGTCCATAATACAAAGTTTTACAAAATGAAAGAGGGGGGAAAAACACTTTTTTTTCCACAGTGAGGCAAAGAGTATAGGTGACAAACATTGTACTGGGTTGAACATGTCCCCCAAATCATGTCTACCCAGAACCTGTGAATGTGACCTGATTTGGAAATAGGGTCATTGAATTGTAATCAAGTTAAGCTGAGGTCGTACTGGATCAGGGCAAGCCCTAGATCCAATACGACTGGTGTCATAAAAAGAGGGAGATTTGGACACAGACGCAGATATTCGGAGAAAGAACATCCTGTGAAGATGCAGGCAGAGACTGGAGGGATGTGTCTACACACCAAGGAACATCAAGGATCCCCAGCAACTGACAGAAGCCAGGAGACAGGCGTGGACCAGAGCCTCTGGAAGGAACCAACCTTTCCAACAACTTCGTGGCTGACCTCTGGTCTCCACGACTGTGAGAGGATAAATTTCTGTTGTCTTACGTCACCCAGTTTGTCATATTTTGCTACAGGAGCCCCAGGAAACTAATACAAATACGTTTATGCTTTTCTATCCCTAATACCAGTTTGGGGAATTATCCTAAGAATGTCATTAAACAGAGGAAAAAAAGTGAAAGAGGAAGGTTTTGATCACAAAGGAGCTATCTGCAGTCCTTTTAAAGTGTCAAAATATTGAAAGCTACCTAAATGCCAAAGAATTGGGAAATGATTTTGCAAATCATGCTATTACCTCAAGAAACATTCTCACTGAAAAATGTGATCATTGAAAAACCATTCTAGCTGGGGGACAATCAACTTCTCAGCTTGCTTTCCTCATGGGTTAAATGCGGGCAATTTCACCCACCTCTGCGTTTCTCATACTCTTTCGATCATGGTCAGCAGTAACATACAATTTACATAGCAACCAAGTACAGGCACAAAAATAGACTTAACTGATAAACTTCCAGGAAGCATCCCTCACCCTGTGCGAGGTGCATGCTGATACTGTCTAGATTTTTTGTTTGTTTTTAATACTCTCTTGATCAACCTGCAATTTGTTGAACGCCTGCCTTACCTCATGGAGTAAACTCTATGACCATAAATGTCACAAGAGTGATAAAAGATAAATATTTTTATCTGTGTGGTAGAAATATTTTAAAATTTCATTTCACATATTCATATTTAAAAAAAAATTTCAGCTAAGCATGAGCTTCCAGTCAACCATTCAACAAATATTTATAAACTATTTCAGGCCAGGCACTGTATTGAATGCAAATATAAATAAGACAAATTCTCATCTCTCAAAGAGCTTAAGATCTCATGAGGAGGCTGAGACACCGACACACTTAACCACAAGAAAGCAAGGTGTGTGTCCTGGACCTTCAGAAGTTCAGAGGCCAGGGAAGCCATGCACACAGATAATCACAGAGCATCCTGGAGCACAGCTTATGATTCATTTCCCATGAATGGTACCCCTGCCCTGGGATACAAATCATGGAGCATGCCACAGAGCTCGTAGTGGGAGATTGCTTTTGAAGAATGGGAAGGACGAAGGAACTAGTGTGCTGTTCCTGGGGAACCGGCAATCCAGGGGAGCCCAGGGAAGCAAAGGGAGGGAGGCAGGAGCTTATGAAAAATGTCTGCCAGCGAGTAGCACAGGCTAGTAAAACCGGAGCCCATGGTACAGCACAGAGAAGCAAATGGCAGGAGACGTCTGTTGGAGAGGCAGGGAGCAGGTGGACCCCAAAGGCTGAAATCCCAGGGTAAAATGTGGAACAAACTCGGCAGGCCATTTTAGAGGATCAGAAGCTGTGTTCTAGGAGAACAGATGTGTGTAGAATCAATGAGGGGAAAGAGGCTGAAAGTAAAGAGAGAAAATCAAAGGCTGCAAACATACACAGAGGACCTAGATGCAGCTGTCACAGAATGACTGGCCAGAGGCTGCTGTGACGGTCCAGGTAAAAGGTGGGACTGGAGCACAGGTGGCAGGATGTTGTATCACTGTTAAGTCAGGACTGATATTTTTTCCCTTGTAGAAACAGGACAGAGCATGGGCATGAGGAAGAAAGAAGAGGCACAGGTAGAGCCCCGTGTACAGGACTATGAATCCCTTCTTTTCTCCTCACGGGTGGCCTCAAGGGGGACAATGGTCCATATCACATTCCCCGGCTCCGCTGGCCACCGCTGGCTGACCAGTTGTGCAAAGCAGGCCCAGCCAGGTGCTGTTCCCTGGGCATGTGGACTTGGGGTCCTGCAAGGCTAGGTTGAGTTGTGAGACCCTGACTGAGCCGTGAGACCCTGACTGAGCCATCAGGGGGACTGCCGAGCTGAAACCAGATGCTAGGGGGAGGGTAGAAGTCTAGCCGCAGGAAAAGGAGAATGAAACAACTGCACGAAGAGAAGTAATGAGAAGCCACAAAACCCCAGAAAAGACAGATGCCAGAGCTGCCTCTCTACTGGTCAGTTCTGTACTGGCCACCACTGGGTTCGATGAGGATGCTTTGTATTCTTTTTTTAAAAAAATCCCTGTAAATTTGAGCAAGGTAGTATATTCGACATCTATTGATCGTGCACCTGTTTTCTGCCAAGCGTTGTGCTACACACGGAGCCGGTGCCTCCCTCGTCACTGGAAGGTTCCTGATTAAGATGCTAAGTAAAGGCGGTCCCATGGGAAAGGAGGCTTTAGTTTTCATCTTTTTTTTGAAAGGAGGGGGGTTGGAAGGGAGTGATAGATGACTAGTTTAGACAAGTTAAGTTAGTTACCTGCCCACCAGGTAAACACATTCAACAGCTCCCAGGCTTGTGAAGCAAGCCCTTAGAAGAGAGGTGAAAGACTGGGAAGAAACTGGGGAGATATCAAGGGAGAAGGAATAATGGAAAAGCATTGCAGTGGGTGAAATCTCCCAGGAAGTAAATATAGAGAAAGAATCTAGGACTGAAGCAGGACTCAGACTTAGGAAATGGGAAGAAAATGGTTAAGTCCTAACTTCAGTTCTCAGCTTAGGTCCCCTCCGGTCCAGGAAGGCTCCCTGGATCCCAGATTAAAGAGAGATGCCCTGAGCCCGTGACTCGCCACGCTGGGCCCTTGCTTCTGTTAGTCCAGTGATCACGCATCCCTTTCTCAGCCTCTGCTCCGGCGTGACAGCTCCCTGGGGAAAGGAGCACATCCTGTTGCCTGCGGATTCCCAGCACCCAGTGCATCATGGGCTCCTTGTTATCGGGATGAGTGAAAGAGGACTATGGGGTGGGGGGGGGGCGGGGGGGGCGGGGGCCCTGGGTTCTCGCCCGCCAGTCCTCCGCACCCACCCGGGCGGGGGGGGCGGGAGGAAGCCTGTGTAAGAAGAGGGGTGCTGAGTGACAAGACAGAGGAAGAGGGAAAGCAGGATGGTGCCCAAGAAAAAAGCACATCGATTTCATAACTGAATGGAGCACAATGACCAATCCCAAGCCAAGCGGCAGAAATGGTGGGCATCGTACAGGTTACTCCAGAAGCTTTAGACAGAGGGGATGCACGTGGCAAATACAGCAGGAAGCTTTCTCATATTTGCCCCACTTGCCTTCAGAGCCACTGTTGGACGAAGTGGAAGAGCCAGATTCCTGCTTTATGTGGCTATAAAACAACACTTCCAAGTCTGCCGGCTCATTCCCGAGCGACCTGCTGGCCTCTCCCATACTCCAGGTCTCTGTGTGCTGTTGACTTAGAATACTACACTTCATATTCTCCATGACTGATATAATCATATCTGCAATGTAAAAGTGGGTATTTTCCTGCAGAAGAAAAGATGATCAGTTAAAATTCTCACAAGCATAATCAACTTTTTTTTTCCACTGAGGGTGTATTAGATTGAAAAATCAAGAAGTCGTATTTAAGTGGAGTTAATGCGTAGACATACAAATGTTTATTTAACTGTGTTATCATAGGTCATTACATCAAGTACAGCCCATATCTTCCAGAGACAGAAGATTTAGCCCACTGCAACCAAAAGATGACCCAAGTTGAATTTCCTGTGATATGAAACCCTAGACTGGTGGTGCCTCGGTGGGAGACATCATTCATCAATCATGGAAAACTTCCCAGCTGAGTGCACACACTACCAATCAAATGCTGAAATGAAACTTATTTGCCATGTCTCATCCAGTGAAGTTTCCAGACTGAAATCAGAACAGCACATTCTAAGGGATTAACACTCTCGGAGGTTTTAAAAAGAGAAAAGAAGCTGTGTTCACCTTTTCTACATCCACAGGGAGCACAAATGCCTCTGGTGAGAAGGAATTTGAAGAAACCGTTCTTCCACCGACTTGAATAGCACCTGCCAATACAGCAAGTTATTAAAAATAGAGAAAAAGAAGTTCAAAGATTATCTAAGAACAATTCTAGGGAGTGGCTTTTAAATGCTGTTTTAAAAATCAGCACAGGGTCTTCCCTGGTGTTCCAGTGGTAAAGAATCTGCCTTGCAACGCAGGGGACGCAGGTTCGATCCCTGGTCGGGGAACTAAGATCCCACATGCCGCAGGGCAACTAAGCCTGAGCACCACAACTACTGAGCTTGCGCGCTTCAACAAGAGAGCCCGCGTGCCGCAAACTACGGGGCCCACACGCTCTGGAGCCCGTGCGCCATGAGCCACCACTAGAGAGAGAAAACCCACACGCCACAACTAGAGAGAAGCCCTCGCGCTGCAACAAAGAGCCTGTGTACCGCAAGGAAAGATCCTGCATGCCGCAACTAAGACCCGATGCAGCCAAATAAATAAATAAATACAACAAGAAATAAAATAAATAAATATAAAAAATAAAAATCAGCACAATTCTAGAATAAATTAAGACGACAGGAAAAGAAAGACCCTTCTGATGGTAGACCTTGCAGATGGCAGAGGGTCATCACTTCTCCAAGAAGCTTCTGGAGTAACTTGGGAGGAATCCTCAGAGAAGGATTCCCAGAGAGCCATGGGGATGGAGGAGACCAATGAGGAAAGAGGGTAGAAAGAGAAGAGGATCATGGGATCTACCTACAGGAGATGGAGGGTGAGAAGGAACAGTCTAGAAGCAGGGCCTTAAGAATTGCGGGATCATTCCTCCAACTCACTGCATTTGACCTAAAACTTCCCGTTTACAGAGACAAAATCTATCTGAAAAAGGTCAGCACTGGTTCTCTAAAACGTTCTTCCTCCAGTCAAAAACAAGAAGCTGCAGAGGGTATATTCGGCTGACTCATCCATTCTGCATCCTTATTAAGCCACTCCATTACTGGCAATGAACACCACCAAGACAAAAATGAGGCCTGTCAAGTGACATCTTATTGCAGCTTGTAAGGCAAAACATTTCTGTGAGAGCCATAAGCGCCATTGTCCCAACCTGGTGAATCAGAACAAAATGCTACAGATGTTTTGAAGGCTTTACAGCTCTTGGGGTGGCAAACAGAGAGGCAAGCAGGATCTCTCCAACCCCTTTGCCTCGTCTTCAAGAACTCCACTGTTGCATGGAAAACTTTGGACCTCTTAGCTTCAGAAGCCATCTGGGGTGGGCAAACTTTTTCTGAAAAGGACTAGGTAGTAAATATTGTAGGATCTGAGGGCCACACAGCATTTGTTGCAATTACTACTCAGTTCTGCCACTGTCCCGAGAAAGCAGCTACAGACAAAACAAACACAACTGTATTTGTAAAATCAGGAGTCTGGCGGGGTTTGGCTACAGGTCATAGTTTGGGGACCCTGAGGATAGAGGAAAAAGCACAGAGAAAAGTCAGACAGTGGATTCCGGTTCCAGGCCCACCCCCCCCCCACCCCACCCCCGTTCACCAGCTATGCCTCTTCAGTAAAATTTCCTCATCCCTGGAATTGGGATAATTATTATTATTGGGATACTTACCTTACTAGGAAACTGCAGGAGATAAGGAATGTGAAACCATTTTGTAAAAGTGTAGATCCTATGCAGACAGAAGGAATTGTTTCTTACAGCCCCAGGAAATGCTGACAGGCTCAGGTATCTTTCCCTCCCAAATAATCTAAAAAAGGAAAACCCTGCTGCTGCCATTTGAGAGGCAGTAGATCCAGGAAAATCCCAGGCCTTGTGGCAAATGCCTGCCCTCCCCACTGCTGCCCCCATATCAAAGAAAGAAAGAACCATCTCACTTGGGACTTCTTTTTCTTAAGCCCATGGAATGAATCCCCTTACCAAGTTTAAGAGATACTCTCAAAAGACAGAGTGGTTTTTAAAGGTACTTAGATTGCTGGGAGTCACTGTTTTTGGACAAAGCGGCTGGGGTGCCTGTTTTCTTTCTTGGAGAAAGGATAACTTGAAATTGCAGAACCACTTCCTGTAGACGAGTACAAAAAATGATTTGGGGCAGGGGTACACTAGGCCCTACAGGTCATTTTCCGTCACTTTATAAGTTGTCGTGGTGGTGGCCTGCGGGAGAGAGGCCTTTCAATTTTCTCTGTTTTTTCCTCACTCTCCCCTGAGACAACCTAGTAGGAAACTAATTTCTCACTTTTCAACCAGTGGATTTACAAGTCACTCTTTTCCTGAGAGCTATCCGTCCAGGTGAGCGAAAAGAGAAAAAAGGCCTATAATCAGACTGTGCCATTTTGCTCAAATTTGGTTCTTAACTCAAAGTTAGCCCCCTGAAACACTGTCCAAAATCTGCTCTTCTTAAACTATTAATAATATGTTAAAGATTGTCACCATCTTTGACTTTTCAAAAGTTTCAATAGAACAAATAAACCCTGTATTTTAGGAAAGGGGAGGACTGGCTCCTGCTAGTGAGAAATAAATACACACACACACACATACACACACACACACACAGACATACAAAGGCAGACAGCTTTTAAAACTGTTTTGAAGGAAAAAGCTTCATTGACTATTTGAACTAGGATTCCAACAGAAATACACATTAATGCAAAGTGTGAATATAGGGCTTCCCTGGTGGCGCAGTGGTTGAGAGTCCGCCTGCCGATGCAGGGAACACGGGTTCGTGCCCCGGTCTGGGAAGATCCCACATGCCGCGGAGCGGCTGGGCCCGTGAGCCATGGCCGCTGAGCCCGCGCTTCCGGAGCCTGTGCTCCGCAGAGGGAGGGGCCACGACAGTGAGAAGTGTGAATATAGCATAATGAATATTTAAAAATAAACTAAGCATGCCACAAATTTTAACAAGAATTGCTAATTTATTGACTCTTGAGTGGCGTTTGGTATGGATTAGCTCATTTTAGGAATTTCAGTATTTTAGGAATATGTGTGTCACCTCATAGCCCTGGTTTTAAAAGGAAAAGGTTTTCTCCAGTTTGGAGGAATTGCGGTTACTGTTTTTAAGTCTTACTTTTTTTCTAGCCACACCCTGTCCAGGTAAATCTAACAGGGGAAGCGAGTTCCTCTCCTACCTCAGCACTGGTGTGAACCGGAGCCCACCCTGTCTGGACCACCTTCCATCACCACACTGAATGCAGAGCACTTCTGGTGCTCTCCTGCAGGGCACATACCTGCTCCAAGATGGCAGGTGACACTGATTATGAACTAAGTTGAGCTAAGATGAGATTTCCCTGCAGTCTAAGGAGAAGGGGAATCCTTGACTCCGCCCATCGTGACCCATTGTGCTGGGCCAAAGACAGCATGAACTGAGCCCATGCCCTGGATCGTGGGCAAAGTGGAAACCCAGGAGCTTTTCCCTTGCGAGGAACACCTGGCCTCAGCCCCGGGCAGAGCTGTTGTGAGGACAGACAGGAAGGAGGGCGGTCCCCACCAGAGTTACCTGCATCAGTGGAAGCTGTCAGCTGGGAAGGCTTGAAAAAAGCATTGTCAGCCTCACGACACGGCGAGGCAGCCAAATCATTCTTGGAGCTTGTGAACAGAGGCGTCCAAGGACGGCGTCCTGGGAGCACTGCCCGTTCTTCCTTTGAGGTAAGAGAGAAGTCACCGCCTTTTTCAGCTGAGCCCCGGGCAGAGGAGCTGCCCGTGGAGTCCACAGTGCCCTTTGACAATGATGTCTCCACAACGGAGTCCCCAAGAGATAACGGTGAAGGGCCCAAGGGAGAGGCAGCATCCCAGGCAACACGGCTCTCTCTGTTTCCCACTGCTGGCACCTGGGGGGGCGAGTCCTGCAGCTGTTGCTGCACACACTGGGGGTTAATCCAGGCAGCTCTGTGCCTTGTAAACCTGATGTTTGATGCGCAAGAGAGGTGGTCCGTGTCCAGGAGGCTGGGTGAACCATCAATGTCGCCAGGGTCATTGCTGATTCCTTCCCAGGGGTCCACAGGAGAGTCCTGCCGCCCCGCAGACTGTGACACCATCTTCGAGGCTCAGGGCTGGTGTGAATTCCCTTGTGCTGTTGGATTACGACCTTGAACTCAGCACCTGGTCAGCTAGAGGGCTGGGGAGCTTACCTGCAATGAGCAAGCATCATTCATGATAAACAAGGGCTCGATCATATTTTTAACTCCAAATTCTTTTAAGGAAGCAAAGAAACAAGAAATAAAGTTTGTACTTTGCCCTATACAACACAATACATTCCGCTTGGATTTAAAAGGAAAAAATTAATAAATGAATCAGCCATAAAACTAGAAGCAAACGTAAGGGATATGACATTGGGATAGGAAAGGGATTTCAAAGCATAAAAATATTATTTTTATACCAGGATAAAGTCGTATAAGGATACTGCTGATAGAAAAACAGGTAAAAATGTAAAACATCCATGCATTAAATGTCAAACTCAAAATGGGAATGCCATCTGGTAGTAAAGACACATGTTCATAGTTTCTTATTTTTATTTAGTTTGTGTTTGTATTTCAACAAAGTAGGCAAGTGGCATGTGAAACTGAGAACAACCAATAGCACCAAAAACTTTTGTTTTGTATAACTTTACATGAGCCTGTAATACTTAGATTATAACAGCAATACGAATTTATGATTAGCTTATAATATCTAAAGACCACACTACAAACCTAGACTCTATCTTTAAAATGGTGCGCTCACTTTTCAGCTCCGTCTTTAGCTTTAGTAAATTAGGCAGTGATTACAATGTTGAGAGCCACACAAATGAGAAATGCTCTCGTCACTAATTACAGGCCCAGCACATGTGTCTTCCTAATGTTCTCCCACTGTCCTTCACATTGTAAAGCTCCAAACAGCCTTCAACAGCCAAAGCAAGGTTGGCAGGAGGAAGGTTTAGAGATGGAGGTGTCTGCTTGGGCACTGACCCTAAAGGAAAGGTGAAATCCATGGGCACACTGCAGTGAGCCTCCGACTTTGGTCCTCATAAAGTTCCAGGGCTTTGGGCTTCCCTGGTGGCGCAGTGGTTGAGACTCCACCTGCCGATGCAGGGGACACAAGTTCGTGCCCCAGTTTGGGAAGATCCCACGTGCCGCGGAGCGGCTGGGCCCGTGAGCCATGGCCGCTGAGCCTGCGCGTCCGGAGCCTGTGCTCCGCAACGGGAGAGGCCACAACAGTGAGAGGCCCGCAGTTTGGGGGCTAGGGGCATTGAGTGCAAAGGGCATGAGGAAACGCTTTTGGGTGATGGAAATGTAGATCTTGATTGTGGTAGTGGTTACAGGGGTGTATGCTTTCATCAGAACTGACTGAACTTTGTGCTTAAAATGAGTCCACTTTATTGTTTGTAAATTATATCTCAATAAGGTAAAAAAAAAAAAAAAAAAAAGGTTCCAGGGCTTTAAACACCATCATTACGTATAGGCGGCTCACACATGGATCTCTATTCCTGACCTCCCCTGAACTCTGGTCTAGCGTATCTTACTGCTTATTTGACGTTTGTCAAGAAGGCATCACAACTGATATATCCAAAATAGACACTGATTTCCCCCCCGCAAATCTGCTCCTGCCTGGTTTTCCCCATCTCAGCAACCCCCTAGTTGCTGAAGCCCCGAATGTAGGAGCCAGTACTGACCCTACCTTCCCAGGCTCTCCATCTTTAACCGACCAGCAAGCTTATATCTACAGCCACCACCCTAGTGTAAGTCAGCATCTTCTCCCACTGGATCTCCCGCCATCTTCCCAATGGTCTCTGTGCTTCCACTCTCACCTATTTAAAATCAAGTTATTCAGAGACATCTTTTATAAACCTAAGTCATTCCCCTAATCGACCCACCCCCCCATAGCTTCCCATCAAATCTGGAATAAAATCCAAAATCCTTACCTTGTCCTCCAGGCATGACATGATCCTGTCCTGCAGACCTCTCTCGCCTGTCCAACCTCCGGAAGTCCCAACCACGCAGCAAACTCTTGAGTCCCACACACTCTTGCCCACTCTCTGGGCCCCATTGTAATCTCTCTGCTTGGACCACTCTTCCCTCAGATGATCACACATCTGGCTCCTTCCTGTCTTATGCATGCCTGGGTTTATGAATGACTTCCTCAAAGAAGTCTTTCCTAACTACCTCTCTTAACGTAGTTCCCTGGTTACGCCTTCTCACGTCACTTTGCTTAATTTTCATCACAGCAGTTCTCACTTCCTGTCATCTCTGTCTAGCCCCCTGACTAGAAGCTCTGGGAGAGCAGGGGCCTTGTCTAAGAGGGGCAGATGGGGGCTCAATAAAAGTTACAGACTGAATGAATAAAACCAACGAAGTGGAAATAAAGTCACGGGTAGAGGAAAGACGTTTGTGGTCGATACAACTGCTCTATTATGGTAGCAGACTTACTCATCCAGGGATGGAAGTGAATCAATGTTTCCTAAAGATACAAAATTTTTCTTACCCAATGCTTACAAATAGACCAAAAGAAGGTAATGTGGAAACTGGCTTTCCTTGATTTGTGGGTCCTCCACTGTAGGTCATAGTTTTTGGAGTGATGTAGGACATCTATGTATATATATCGTCCTGAGGACACAGCACAAGCTCCAAATCACCAGTCACAAAATATCACAGGATTTGGTGAGATCGGCCAGTGCTCACTACCTGAAGTGTTTCATCTTCCTTCTTCCGACCTCAAATCTCACTTTGTGCCCCAATTTCTCTTTGTCGCACGTCTTTTCCTCTCCAGTAATTTTGAGTGTTATAATTACCAAAAAACCCACTCATGACTATGGCTTTATAAAATGCCAAAAACACAGAAGCCTGGAGTAAAAAGTGAAGCAGTGACACTGCCCCAAGCCCCCACCATTCCCACTTCTTTCCCAGAAATAACATCGTCAACCATTTTATTCCATCCAGACCTTTTTCTATGAATTAACATACATATGTCAGATCAGAAGATATGTCTTATTTTCTTTTTTATATACACATGAGATCATACTAAACATACCCTAAACATACCTTCTTTTTCTCTCAGCAACATGTCTTGAGGGTATATATTCTTTTTTTAAAATATTTATTTATTTATTTATGGCTGTGTTGGGTCTTCATTGCTGCGTGAGGGCTTTCTCCATTTGCAGCAAGCGGAGGCTACTCTTCGTTGCGGTGCGTGGGAGGTGGCTTCTCTTGTTGTGGAGCACGGGCCCTAGGCATGCAGGCTTCAGTAGTTGCAGCACACGGGCTCAGTAGTTGTGGCTCGCGAGCTCTAGAGTGCAGGCTCAGTAATTGTGGAGCACGGGCTTAGTTGCTCTGCGGCATGTGGGATCTTCCCGGACTAGGGCTCGAACCCCTGTCCCCTGCATTGGCAGGCAGATTCTTAACCACTGCCCCACCAGGGAAGTCCCATTGAGGCTGTATATTCTTTACCTTAACTATTTTACCACTTTTTATGGTACAAATGTATCATAAGTTCTCAGCCAGACTCCTATTGATGAAACTTTTCAGTTTTTCACTATTATAAAATATACAGTAATGAACATCTTCATTAATGTTGCTTTTGATTGACTTTCTTTTACTAGATCTTTTCTTTCACTAGTGCCAATTTTAGTTCTGAGTCCATAGCCCATGATAATCTCACTATTTCCAAGAGAATGAAGCTATGTCAGTCATGTTTTATTCTCAATTTTCCGCACATCATATCTGGTTTTGTGTGTGAAAGATGATCACAGATATGAAATCATATGAAAAACACACAACCTCAAACAAATGGTAAGCAGTAGTGTTACCTGTGGGGTTTTTTTTGTTTTTGGTTTTTGGTTTTTTTTGCGGTACGCGGGCCTCTCACTGTTGTGGCCTCTCCCGTTGCGGAGCACAGGCTCCGGATGCTCAGGCTCAGCGGCCATGGCTCACGGGCCCAGCCGCTCCGCGGCATGTGGGATCCTCCCGGACCGGGGCACGAACCCGTGTCCCCTGCATCGGCAGGCGGACTCTCAACCACTGCGCCACCAGGGAAGCCCCCCTGTGTTTTTATAAACAGTTTAAAGTTAATAATTCAAAGAGAATGACATTATTTATGAGCCTCCCAGATATGGAATCAACTGCACTGAGCAAAAACAGACTTCCTGATAAAAAGTAATTTTCAGAAGCAGGTGCTTGTTCTGCTTCCTTCTAGAAAGATGTTCTTGCTTCACACAAATAGCCAGCAGGTGCTGGCTTTGCCAGGTTATAGAATAAGAACATTTTAGAGCTGGAACAGGCCCACAGAAAGTCAAAGCCATATCTAAGGTCACAGCTGGGTAGTGGCAGAGAAAGGATGACAAGCCAGATTGGACACTCATTAGGGAGCGTGAGTTTCTCTGACATGCAGACTGACACAGAGGAGAGAGCAATGATTGGAGATGAAGTCCAGACCCCGGAGATGAGAGATCGTCTCCATTTCTTGATCTTTGGGACAACAGATAATTCAGGAGATACCAAGATACGGTTGTTGGTTGTGTTGCTTATTGCCACATTGCTTGTAGTCTGTTATTCAATTAAACCAATATTTATTGAGCGTCTACTACATGACTGGCAGTGTTTTTGTTCTGGTAGCACTGGGGTAAGAGTGGTGACTGAAATAAGTTTCCTGCCCTCCAGTAGCTTACATTCTGGTGGAGGGGAGACAGGGACTAAACACATTCATAAATTTCAGGCACTGACTGGCAGCAGGTAACATGGATCTAAGGAATGCTTGGCATCTTCTCAAAGTCCTTCCCACTGTAACAAATGAGCTCCCTTGAGTCAGAGATGATTAGGTGCAAAGATAAAATCAATTTCCAAACACATTTCAAAGGAAGAGAAAGCCAGTTGCAAAGCTTACTGTCATTTTTATTGAGATTTTCCTACTGAACGTAAACACAGGCCAGATTACTAGTTAACACATGTGCAGCAGCAAAGGCCCTAGACAAAGGAAAGACTCCAGGACTTGACCCGCAACACCCCAAGTCATTCTGGAAGGTCCCTGAGCACTGGAGTCATTGGTCCCATTGAGAATGACTGCATTACTA